GGGGGGAGCCGCAGTTCCTGCTGGCCCAGAACGTGGCCACCTGCAACGACCCGCTGGAGGTGTGCTTGCAGCGGCAGGTGGTGCAGGACACGGTGCAGGTGTTCCAGCACGCCGTGCCCGCCGAGGGCAAGCCCGTCACCAACCAGAAGAACTCCGGTAAGGGGCTCCCGGCGCCTTCCCTGTCTGCTGGGTCCCGACCTCCTGGCTGCTGCGGCGCTGCTGGGCCTGGGGGGGTAACGTCCCCGCTAAGGAGCGCGGCGCTCAGGAACGCTGCTGTTTGGGGGAGGAATGATGTCATCTGCGCTGTGCTCCCGGTGCTCGTGCGAGCGGTGACTTCCTCTGAAGCCTTTCCTTTGGGCCTCAGAGCAAAATGTTAATTGTTCAAGGGTTATTTCAAAAATATGTTGTTCTGAGAGCTCTTGATATGTTACTGGAGCCCAACCAAAAAGTAACAATCAAGTAGTGGCAAAAAGTCGCAGTCAACTTTTTTCCACTAGGAATGATCTTTTGTGGTTTGTAATAGTTCAAAGCAGGGGTTTGAGCCACAGCACTATTTCAGAAGGATTTGCAGCCTTATTTTAGCTTTTGTTGCAACTAAGTTCTGATATAGCTTTTCAAAATTCTTTATGAAGATGGAAAATGAATCCTTACTGTGTTCTTTTGATTTAATAACCGTCTTTAAGCTTGCAAGCTTTACCTAATTTCACTTCCTTAAAGAAAAAGATAGAAGTAGTTGAGACCTGCACGTGCAATTTAAGTTTTCTCATGTTCCTGTTCTTCTGTTGTTGTGTATAATGCCAACCAGAACAGTGGGCCAAAGGCTTGAGACAGAAGAGTAGTATAAATCCTGTATTTAAAAACGCTGTGCAGATCTTCGGTGCGTACATTCCAGTTTAATTCTTGTTCCTGTGATCTCTCAGGGAGATGTTGGATCTTTTCTTGTCTCAATGCAATGCGTCTTCCTTTCATGAAAAAATACAACATCGAGGAGTTTGAATTCAGCCAGTCGTACCTCTTCTTCTGGGATAAGGTACAGTCATAAAGGTCCTAGGTTGTGCTAGGACTGCTTGTGCAATGGGTATTAGTCTTTGGAGAGAATTTCGTGTAGGCTGTTGACCATCTAAGAACCCAGATGGAAAACACACATGAGAAGAAACTTCAAAAAGTTCTTTAAATATCTATTTTAAATGATGGTAGAGCAAAGTGGGTTTTTTGGCGTGAGAAGAAAATTGTCAAGCTGTTAGTGTTTTGGAATATTAAAACTTTTTTCTCTCAAGAGTACTCAGTATTTCGGATGCTCCTTGTAGGAGGCCCTGTGGGAAACATCACTGTCATTTTCTGTTGAGCTCTTTCAGTAGTACTTGTGACCTGCCGATCTGGGAACTGTGTTTTCTTGATTTCCCTATAGGGAGCAAACTTATTACTTGCAACTGAGCTAAGTTTGAGCTAGGTTTCATTACATAACTTGTGTTCCCCACTTGCTGCCCCTGTACCCTCCCAAACTCTATACCAATTCACTTGTAAATATTTCCTGTGTGATAGAAAATAAGTTTATAGGATAATCCCCAGAAGACCTTAGGGAAAATAAGAACTTCAGGGCATGGCTATAAATGTAGTTTCCTCTAGTTAGGACTTTGAAAGAAATGAATAGACAGGCATGAAGTCACGTGTAGCATGTCATACCTAGAGATTGTTTTAACCTGTCTTTTCATTCCAGGTGGAACGTTGTTATTACTTCTTAAATGCCTTTGTGGAAACAGCTCAGAAAAAGGAGCCTGTGGAAGGAAGATTGATACAATTCCTGCTTTCCAACCCCACAAATGATGGCGGACAGTGGGATATGTTGGTTAATCTTATTGGTAAGAGAATCTGTCACTAGAAGAGCTGCCTAAAGCTGTATACTGGCTTGAGGGGTGAGGAATGCTAACACAATTTTTATATGCTTCTACAATATCTGGTTCTGTAGTAGATATTACACAGTGTAAGATCTCCTAGATGATAGTGCCAGGCACTACAGAAAGCTTCAAATAGGAGATTGCTTATACGTTCACTGTGTCACAGTTCAAAACCTAGCAGGAATAATTGTGATGATAAAACACCTTTTTGCAATCTGCAATGAAACACTTGACTATCTAGTTACCTTAAAACATGCAGATAGTTATTCTCATTAAACTCACTTATTTCTTCTTGATCTTCTTGAAACATGTATTCTTTGTAATATCAACAGTCTGCAAATATGTAGTTGTTAGTCTGTACTCAATAAGAAAGAGATTTGATAGTATGAACAAAAGATGTAGCTGAACCAGTGCTAATCTTGCTTTGAGCTAACGTTTAACTGTTTTATGCTTTCCTTATTTCTACCAGTATTAAAGTGAGTTTCTGTTCCTAAACGTTCATAAACAAAGAAAAGAAATTTCAACAGCTTTGGACACAACTTCGGTATATATTGCTGTGGCTGAACTGGAATGCAACCCCTGATTTCAGATGATCAGCAGTAATTTTATTAACCATGTAAATACTAAAAGGCATTTCATATGGATTGAAAGCAAGTTTGTGTTCTGAGGAGTAATTAGTTAGCTCTGAATGTAAGGTTTATTAAGCAATTTACTCTTCTTAATGCCTGGAAGTTGAGTGTAGCCTGTCTCAGAATATTCTGCTAATACTTAATGGAAAGCATTTCAGGTGAAATTATATCTTAGGAATGACATAAGCTATTCTGAACTTAGTTACTGATTTCCAGACCTTGCTTTTTTAAGCTTCTAATACACTGCATCAAAAGCACCTGTTGCATTTCCTCACCATACTTCCTTTCAAATAACAATTACCCTCCTGTTACCAGTGCAGGGGAAAAAAGGATGGAAACTTTTATACACACAGAATTTCTTGTCCCATCTCCCTTACCCAGATATGAGGGATGTGGGAAAAACTTGCAGTATGCCTTGAAGGTTGATGCCTTTAAGGTTAACTACTGTAGGCTGTTAGAGTAGGAAGAAACAAAAGTTTGAAACCTGCAAATCTGCTAAAGAACACGACATCTTTAGCCACTGGCTTTCTTTAATCAAAAAAGTTTTTCATGTTTGCTTGTAAGCATTAGGCATAAATCTTTTCTGGGATCTTTCCTTTTTTTGTATACTGCTGCTAATGACAGAGGTTCAGAAAGTCAAGAGAAGTAATCAGATACACCTGACTGTCCATATTCAATTCCGTTACACTTCCACAATCAACTCAGGCTGTTGCTTTTGCTTATATCCATGTATACAATTTCTAGCGCATGTGGTAGGAAAAACATAGAATAGGCTGTGCCTACAAGGCAGAAGTAAAACTTCTTTCAGAGTTGCAACCTGAAGAAAGATGATGAGGGAGTGAGGGAAATGGTGTGGCATGTGGCTGTGCTGGTCTAACAAAGATTCAGTTTAGGTAAGTATCTCCTCAAGCAGTGCTAAGGAGGATCCTCAGTGTTTGAATTATACTAGCATTTGCTTTCATTTGTGTTGCAAAACAATATGACACCTTTGTAGAGTAACAAGCCACTAATGCAAGTTTAGAATCACGAAAGGAACTTGTTTCAAGCCTGGAGGCCACACTTTTTCCCCATCCAATTGTTTTAAATATTTCATTGGGGCGGAGAAGATTTTAGATGATGCTATTATGTCCAGAGCTTTGCGTGGTGTGATCTTTGTTTGGTACCATAATGCAATAAGTAATTGAGCAGTTGCATACATTTTATAAATGTTGAAGAGAAGTAGTCCTGAGGTTTTTTCCCTTCCTATGGAGGAAGGAAGCTAGGAAGTTAGTCACCTAACCGTAGATTAGATACGTGGAATAATTCATAAGAGGCACATTTTTTCTTAGCAGTTATTTCAGTAGCTTAATTTTAAAGTAAACATGTTTTGTCCTGGTCAAAAAGCGCTTCTTAAATGGCACTAATTAGATTAGAACTTTTAAAGTGTCAGATTAAATGATAGTCATTCAGGATTTCATCCCTTGGGACCCTTGTGAAATGCAGATCAGAGAGGTGAAGATTCAGCCGCAGATTGAAGTGTAAGCTTTAAGTGATTGTAACTTTTAAATAAGAAACTCCTCCCTTATACTCTCTGCACAGAAAACAGCTCTATTAAGCTTTTATGTAGCTGTGAGCAGAAGCACCAGCGTTTGCCATATGGAAAAGACAATTGTTAACTCATAGCTTTACTTTCTTTTAGAAAAGTATGGTGTTGTCCCCAAGAAATACTTCCCAGAATCCCATACCACGGAGGCTACGAGAAGGATGAATGAGATCTTGAATCATAAGGTAAGACTGATGTAAGTCTTATGATTAAAGAAGGTGAGGGGATGGGAATGATCCTGCTTTAGGTGTTTGTAGCCATCTTTGTGTCTCTTTATTAACCAAAGTATTAAGTGCATCTCAGCAACTGACTTGTTGTTATTCAAACAGTAGTCTTAAGTCTTGGCAAAGAAATGAGATTGATCTTGGAACACCGAGCAGGAAAGTGTGTGTATGGAAGATGGCTGTTGCCAAGCTTCAGTAGCTTAGAAGTAATCCACATGGTTTTAGTAGCAATTGTTCCTAATCCTCAAATTTCTAAAAAGGTAATTCTTGAAGTGCAGCTGATAAAGTATGTTTCTGTAAAACTAGTATCTGGCATCTGAGTTACTGTTTCTCAGTATTTTGTCTACCAGTATGCCAAGGTTTCTAGAGATTACTGCCAAATTTGATGGCTAAGATCAAAAAGTATGTCTTTTAAAAGCACCGAATGTTAAAGATGAGCTTGCAACGTACGGGGTTGTGGCTCTGAAGGAAGGAAGGTATAAGCTTGCTCACTGAACTACAGAAGTATATTCATCTGGGAAGAAGTTAGTGTAGGTGGCTAGATAAAAAGGCAATTAAAAACATTTTTTTTTTACAACAAGCTTTGATTTTTTTTTTTCCAGTTCACATGGTGCATGCTTGGGGAAAATTGCCATCTGAAATCCATATAAAAATGTAAACTATGTGCTGAAATGAGCTTAGGCATTATGGTGATGTTAACGTTATTTCTGCCTTGAACATCACAAACCATTTGGTCTTGAGGGAGCCCCACTCACTGCTTCCTGGCCTGATGGATGGTGACAGTAATGGGAGGCATGTACTCTTCTTACTGCAACCCTGCATGTAGGAGGGAAATGCTCCGTTCTTTTTATCAACCAAGAGATCAATTATGCATTGGAATTGCAAAATAAATTTTACAGTATGAAGACAATTTGTTCCCTGTGAGTCACAGAGGCAGTAATGCATATGGATGTAGTGGCATTAGTTATGTTATGGAACTGAGAGAAATCAAGCCTTAAGAAATGCTAATGGCTGTAAGCGTCAAGTAGTTGGAAAATAGTGATTGAATTGCAACTGTTAATTTCTGATTTTTGTGATCTTTTACCTTTAAATGATTTCATTATGTTGCTTTTGAAGAATTAACATTTAACAAAGCCTTTTGAAAGAATTTTTTTTCTTTTTGAAGACCTTTTTATAAAGGGTAAAACAGGTGTCAGAAACAACCATATGGAAAATTCTGAACACTGACTAGGTGTAGCACCTTTCTTAATCTCAAATTAAAATGACTTTCTCTTTAAACAGATGAGAGAGTACTGTTTGCGTCTAAGAAATATGGTGGCATGTGGGATAACTAAGGGGGAACTTACTGCTGAAATGGACGCTATGATAGAAGAGGTAAATATATTTGTGACGTTTGTGTGACTTCTTGGAACAGGGGGGCTTGAGTGCATTTCTTGCTGGCCCTTGTTTTGCAGCTAGGAGGATCAGGCAAAACAAGGGACTTTAGTTTGCCTAACTAGGGAGGTTTTGTATGGCAGTGCACTCTGAAGTATTAAAAAAATTTTTTTTGAAGGAGCATATTTGGTTACTTGGTGCGTTCTGAGTTTTTTTATTCCAGACAAATATCCTGAATTTAAGGATTCTTGAATTCTGACAGTTTACCACCAGGAAAGATCTGCCCCTTTCTGTAAGAAAGCAGCATTTTGTATCTTAAGAGATCAGAATAGCAGTCTATCAGGCTTCTGTAACTAGTAGGAAAGAGGCAAGCTGAAAATTGCGTTCTGCATTTTAAATGCAACATCCTACAGCACAAGTGTTGTTGCAGAAATTCCCCACAAGAGAGCAGGAAAGAACAACAAAAGAGAACTCTGCAGTACGGGGAAGATTTGAACTGAACAAGGCTGAATCCAGCTGTGATCTGATAATGGGGGGGCATCAGAGGAAGGAACCACAGCATCTATTTCTAGCTGCATGAATTAACCCAAAACTAAATCAGTCAGCAAGGGTCTGCACTATTGGTGGGTGGGCTGGCCCTCCACAGGTGGAGGCCACTGCTTGGTTGGAACATGACAATGATGCATGTTATTTTTCTTGTCCTAGTCTCCTCATACTTGTGTGTTTGGCTTTTTTGAAAAGCGAAAACTATTTTTGAAGTGTTGTTAGTTTGATGTTTGACCAAGTGTATGCATTTTTTTAAAATGCATTTATTTCATGTGTGGATTTCTCAAACTTATAATACAAAGTGACCAAGTGGCTTTAATGTCTATCTTCAGGTGTCTCAAGAAATCAAACTTTTAAAATGTGTCTTAGTTTTTCTGCAATCCAATAAACATCAACAGATGTTTTATTGTAATTACTACTAAAGATGTAAGCAAAAGTTACATTGGGATAGTTCTGTGAAGTTCTAAGCAGTTCCACTAATATGCAGATTTTGATTAATGTGTGTGTTTGTCTGGTTTTTGGAAATCCCATCTTTCTGATTCGTATAAAAATCTCTAGCTTTTTACCCAATTTTAAGGTTAGCTTAGAAAGTATATTAAGAACAGGTACATATTCCTTGGGTTACATTAAGTCTAAAATATTTGTTCCATTGAATAGATGCCTTAAGATCAACAGTAATTCTGCCCTTTGAATCTACCCTTTGGAGTGTTGCAAATTCGCATGTAGTTTAGCAGTGTGTTAGTGTAACTTGTCTAGTGCCTCCAAAAGCCTTTGGAGGGTTTTGCAGCAGAATCCAAAGCTTCCCAGAGCTGGCTATGTTTATTTTTAGGGCAGTGACATACAGCTCACTGCACAATGCCTCTTCACTTGTTTGGAGCCCCCTTGCCCCCTGGAAAGAGATCCTGGAACCAGCATTAAAGAATCATTAACTTATTGCAATTTGTCTGTTCTGTAAAAAGATTGCATTAACTGCAGAGAATTAAACATAGTATTTCCTCTTGCAGTAGTAACAGTGTTTGTAACCTAAGTGGGTTTCCTTTCAATAAACGTTGTAGTTAGCATATCCAAATGCACCTGTCTTGTATACTTTAAAAACACTTAGTTAGGGGTTTGAGACCACTGGTTTTCTCATGTGTTTGTGTATAAGTGGCTTTGTATACGTTTCCGTTTTTTGTATACAGCCAAACAGAACTTGGGCTTTGTTCGGTGGAGTTTTATTTGTGTAGCATATCTCAGTTTACTTACGCTAGGAGGCAATACTCCAGCTAAAATGGGGCAGTTGTACTGGAACATAGGATTAAATATTCAATCCAGAACTGTATAAACATCCTCCTTCTCAAAGCAGCAGCAAGAGGTCAGAAGTTGAGATCAGTGCAGCACATGTGATTTAAGTTTTCTTTCTTCACTGTTTCCTTTATGGACTCATCAGGAGTGTTCCCCTTTCCTCCTCCTCACTCATTTAGTTTTTAACAAAAGCCATTATATCTTTGCCTTATCTTGGTTCTAGCTGTCACTAGGGTGAGACAAGTCACCTTTTAGGTTAAGTAAATCTCCTTTGGGCATTGATAGGGGAAGCTTTTGAGATATCGAGAGATGGCCTATGATGGGTGTGGTGGCAAAACTGATGGAGCCCTTCCCAGGCATGACTGCCTCTGTTAACTTGAGACTTCTGTCTCTATTGCTTTCCTTCCTCTAGCTGGAGCCCTTCTGCTTGCTGCTCTACTTTTAGGCATTTTTCTGGCTTGTTTTGTTTCCATAACCCCGAGCCGTGAGAGATGAGGTTATCTGAGGCAATGTGGGTGTGTCCACAGCAAATGCTACCTATTGTGCAGTCTGTGCAAAATTAAGTATTTATAGCAGTTTAGGGTTTTACATTTGCTCTTTAACATATTTGTTAAAAATGAAAAGTGCAAGTTCATCTGGTGAAAACATGATCCTGCACCCTGTTTCAACCCATAATTAATTTTTTTTGTTTTCCTTAAGCTACTTGGAGCAAGAACAGCTTTATTTCTGTCTTGTACACAGCTAAATAGTGAGTGTTAGTTGGCATGAAGATTGTTATGTGCTTTGTATAGAAGACAAAAACAGTGAAGCCCCCTACCTCTCTCCAGATATTTTTTCTTTATGCAGCTTCAGAAGAACATGGAATGAAAGTAAGAGGGACAAAGTATATATATTAAAAAAGGATTATGAAACTACATGCAACTTCTAAGGTATAGGCATTCAGTGCCTATTCAGGAAAAGCCTAAGGTTTTTGTTTGTTTTGTTGCTGGGTTTAAAAAAAAGGCAGTAAGCCCCAGTTCTGCAAAAAGACAGGCAAAAAGGTGCAATCGCAGAGGCTGTCTAGCTTAGTTAATTAACTAGCGGTTCATATAGAACCTACTGAGAAGAGGCTTGGGATCCATATAAATCAGCTCACCCTGCTCCAGAAGGTGTAAATCAGCTCTGGGAAGGGTATTTTGTCTCCTCTGCTGTAAAATTTGGTGAGTGTACAATGCGAAGACTGGCCCAGGAATGTTAACGCGAACCGCAGGCATTGGATCATAGCGTAGAAAGGGGTAGGTGCAGGTTAGCTTGGATTCCCCCTTTTTATTTTAAATAAACTGTGGGTTCCTTGCAAGGAAAAGATTTCTTGTGCTCAAGACACACAAACAACAGAGCTGAAGTAAAACCGATTAAAACCTGTTCAAATATGACTGAATTCTCTTTGTCCCCATAGTTTCTGTAATAGGTCCTTCTAAATATTTGTAGAGATGTTCCTCTCGTTACACTGCCTACAAGTTAGCATGTTTTATGATAAGGCTAGTGAGAAAGTACAGTAGACTGTTCCTAAATACTGTTTCATACCTTTATAGGGAGACTACTGACTTGAAATCTAGTCAAGACTTTTTGTGATTAAAATCAAAAGATGTCAGCTGCAAAGGATGTCACAGCAAGCAGACAGGGATCTTCTGTTAAATTACATAACCTGCCAGCTTAACCCTAAATTGAGGCATTGTTAAATGTATTAAACGCGCACAAGAAGATTATTCTAGGATTTTGAAAAAAGCAAAGGTCTGTCTTTGAAATCCAAATGAACGTTATAGGAAAGAAGAGATTAGTACAGGGGAAGCACTGGCATAAAATGGTTTGCTGTATTGTGTTTTAGGAGAGTCAGTTCCCCTTTTTGCATGGGGCAAATCGGCTATTAGAGCAGTTTTCTGAATGCTTATTTTTCTCTAGAATCAATTTGACAATATTTCTTACACTGGAAACATTCCTTTTTGGGAATTTCTTGTACCTTAAGCAGGTACAGAGAGTGACAATGGAGAGATGCTGGGGTTTTTTTGTGGCCTTTTAGATTGATTTAGAACTGTTGCAACATGTAGATTGCTGGAACTGGATGCAAGTAACTGATGCGTGGAGGGTTATTCATGTGCTTCAAAGGTGAATGTTAACCCAAGTTTCCAGTTAGCTCTTATGTGGGGAAATCCATCGATCAATGCCATTGCTGGGGTAGGAGGGGCAGACCTGTATGTTTCAGCAAGTTCTCACAGCTGTTTGCTACTCTGAGCAGGTTTTCAGAATAGTGAGTACTTGCTTGGGCAGCCCTCCAGAGACGTTCTGCTGGGAGTTCCGGGATAAGGAGAAGAACTACAACAAAATTGGCCCTGTGACGCCAGTGCAGTTCTACAACGAGCACGTGAAGCCTTACTTCAACATGGAGGACAAGGTTGGGCACGCAGAAAGGCAGTGGCTTTCCAAGACCTTTTTACTGTAAAACCTGCCTGCTTACTCCTTTCTGCCGTTGCAGATGTACTGTCTGCATCTGTAACTGCACAACGGCTCCCCCAAGTTGGCCCCATATTTATTCTCCCCATTCTCATGTTTGTGCAGTGCCCCTCAATTAGCTGTTTGACCTTGCATTGCACTTTGAGCTTGTAATCAATGTAATACGCTGTGGTCAGACAAGTCACAAACAGACATAAATAAAACCAGCCATTAGAGAACAAGAATAGCATGCACAGCTCCTGTGTCACAATTGAAGGCGAACTTATAAGAGATGTTAAAAAAAACAAACAAAAAAAAACCTACTCTAAAAGCCTTCTTGGTATTCCAGCCAAGTTTGTCTGCTAATGGGAGAGACAGCTAGCTGGGACAGAAACAATTGCCTGAAATCCGTCTAGATTCACTTCTCAAAGTTTTCAGTTAAGTTACACCTTAATTAATGACACCTTGATTTTTGGCAGATTTGTCTAGTGAATGATCCTCGACCACAGAACCCATACAACAAGCTGTATACTGTGGAGTACCTTGGCAATATGGTAGGAGGGAGGAGAACACTTTACAATAACCAGCCTGTTGATATCTTGAAAAAATTGGCTGCAGCCTCTATTAAGGATGGCGAGGTTTGTTTCATTTCTTTCCGTGGATGGTGTGGTGCTGACTCTTGTAATATAAAACTCACTGGGATATAACCTAGACATGATTCTTTCCTATTTGTAGGCTGTGTGGTTTGGCTGTGATGTTGCAAAGCACTTCTATGGCAAGCTGGGAATCAATGACATGAATATGTAAGTAGAAAATCAAAACAGAATACCTCTTTGGATACTTGGATAGGCATGAAAATACTTTGGCTGAAACTAATTTGTACATGCTTTGGTTTATACACAAGATGAGAGCTTTTAAGCACTACAAGTGTCTGTTAAATATTCTTACTCATCTGAATTGTCTAATCCGGTGAGACACTCCTAAAGGACCAGTCCTTTTTTATTTATTCTGACACTAAAAATAGTTGAACTTATCATAGGCCTATGCACTGGCTCCTGGGACACTGCAGTCTACTGATTCTCTGGTTAGTATTGAGAATCCTCCTTGCATCCTTTTTGACATCATTTATGTGGCTTTCTTACAGATTTAATCACGAGTTGGTGTTTGGTGTCTCCATCAAGAATATGAACAAAGCAGAACGATTAATCTTTGGCGATTCAATGATGACTCATGCTATGGTCCTGACAGCAGTCACCGAGAAGGTAGAGTCTTCCTTCTGAAGTTCTGATGTTTGCACAGATGTATTTGAATATTTTGGCAGTTTGTTTGTATGTTTAGGGCTTATTCAGCGTATGAGCTGTTCTGCTAAAGCTCAGCATGTGCATGGCAGCACCCTGGTGCACAAGGTCTAGGTTGTCTGTTTTCCCTGTAATTTGTGCCTGAGTGTTCAGAAGAACTATAAATATTTAACAGAGGGAAGAATTTCAGACAAGTCAAGCACTTCTTTCCTTCTGCCCACAAACTGCTATTGGAAAAGGGGAAGGAAAGTTCTGTTTTTAAGATACCGGAAAACCTCTCCTAACAGGTTTGAAATGCAGATTCTGACATACCTTGCTGAGCAAGGAATCAAGTATGATAGGAGGTATCTCCCACCCTACCCCATTGCATAATTAGTCCAATCTAGGTTTTACAGCATGAAGCTCATACACTGTTAAAATGCTAGAACAGCCAGTAGGAGGCACTTCAGCAAAAATCTTAACCTTCTACTACTCAGTGGTATGTGACTTCTCTGACCTACTCATAATTAGGAAGGAAAGTGGTGTCCAAAATAGCTGTATGGCAGACAGTATGCTGAGATGAATCCAGCACTACATCTGCTCCTGGCAGTATAACAAAGCAGAGATAATGAGCTAAAAAGAACGATGTGAATATTTACCCCTTTGGGTTATCTGCAATTTTGGTATTTTCCATTATTTCCAGAAGTCATTATTAAAGTCTCTTTAAAGTGATTTCTTCCAGCCCAAGATGACCTTGGCTTTGAGAAATAACAGCTCACATGTAATTGAAAAAGTTCCCTTGAATGATGGAGTTTGAGAACTTGAGATGGGACTGCTGAGAGCCAGTCAGACTTTTCCGAATTACTTTTTACAGTTCAATAGATTTTTTCCTATTGTTCTGCATTTTGAGCTCTAATGCTTATATTTCATGTATCAGATTGCATGAGCACATCTTTTAAAAAATGTTTTTTTGAGTTAGATATTTAAAATGATGATTTCCTAGTGCTCAAAACCTATATATCTAATCACTGCTGAGGCGTGTATGTTTGTAGATCACAATTACTGACTGCACGTCACTGGAGAATATAGTCTATGGTTATAATTTTAAATTCCTACTTTTGCATGCATAAACATACAGTTACATAAAATAAGATCAAATGTGATCTGGTTTCTTAAATGAGAAAAAAATTGTATAAGCTTAATAAATGCTTAATTTATATATTAATATATGCTAATATATCAGTATATGGTATTTCTAGAATGAAAAAGTCCTTTAAAAGACATACTTTATCCTGGAACAAGCCCAGAATTTGAAGGCTTTTCCACATTAAAAACACAGACTAAGTTCTTTCTACTTTTGGCTTGAACATGTTGTCTTATATTAAACCTTAACTTAATCTAAAGGAGCTTTGATAGATAGCTGTAAAAATGTAATACTTTGGATTTACCTGCTTTATAAAAAAAGGCTTTGAAGATAAAAGAAAATCATATTATAATTTTACAATGTAAAAAAAAATTGGAGATTAAATGTACTCTTTGGTAAAAACTTCATTTACGTAAACGTGTTCGTTCTAGTCTGTCAGCCAGCATCATGAGTAAACTTATCCTTAGTCTGGTAGCTCCTGAGTTTCACGTTATAAGGAATTTCCTTATTTTCTTTAAGTGAGAATAAAATCTTGATATAGCAATATTCCTTTGAATATTAAAAATGGATTTACAGGATGCTTTCCAGGCTGCATTTTTTTTGCCTTATTTAAAAAAAAAAAAACACAGTAGAAAGAATTAAATATTCATTGGTTCCTCAAGGGAGCTGATTTTCCCTCACTTTCTGGAGGAAGCAGCAGTGCATCTTGTGGCATAGCAAGCCCATGAAGCTGTTTCCAATGCTTCTAGATGCTTGATAGATCTGAATTAGACTCTTCAGGTATGTACAATGCAGTCTAGAATACAATATACTTGTGAACCTGTAATCAAATATACTTCATGTTTGTTAGAAGCCTTAGATATCTTTCTGTCAGTGAACCAGACTGGTCCTTCAGCTAGATTTTTCAACTGTTTGCACTTGCTCTTGCTAATACTGTTCTAAATTATTACAGTTGCTTCATTGCCCTGGTTCCTTTTCTCTGATTTCTAGTTTGAGTGAGTGGTGTGCTCTATTTCACAAGGCGGTCAAGGCCCTGATAGATGATGGGGAAGGCTGCTTAAATTATTTCAGGCAGTTGAGTCAAAACTTGAATGAACTTCAATTTGAATTAAGTTCTCAGATTAAAATAAATACCTATTGTAGGCTCCCCTCTCGGCTATGTTTCCTTATGTATTATGTGAGCAATATTTCAGAAAATTGCTCTTCTCAAGCTGTAAGCAAGAAACTATTGTCTGAAACTCACCAGTGTGTCTTGATTTTTTTTGGGAGTGGAGCTCTGTTTGCTGGCACTGGATTCGGACTTGGAAGGATTGACTGCTGTAAATTGGCATGGCTCTTCACTACTGAATAGCCATCTACTTGTTTTGTCACACAGGATGGGCAAGAAGGGTCATTTGAAAAATGGAGAGTGGAAAACTCCTGGGGAGAAGACCGTGGTAATAAAGGTAATCTTATAGCCACAGGAACATAATGCCGAACTTCCCCTTCTGAAGGGGAAAAGGGACATGCTGTGAGTGTGTCCCCCTACCTGGAACATGCATGAAATGAGCCTGCAAATAGCATGTGGGTTGCTGAGAATAAGGCACTGCATTTCTGGAAGACAAACACTCTTAGCTTAAATGTGTTTTACTTCTAAGTAAATTGAATGGAGACATTGACTGGAAGCAAGTAATGTCACTGGATTAACTTGGCTTAGTGTTTGCATGTCAAACTGTAGAGGCAATTGCACTTTATGGAAGAGGCTGTAACTGACAGTGAGGGAGTTTTGTCATCCTCCCAAAGGCAGAATAACAAAGTTGACAGCCCCTGTTTTGGAGGTTATAGCTTAAGCTGAATATGAGGCATATTTTGTCCTTGTCCTATAGCTTTTGACAATAATCAAACTGTTTAATTTGTGTATGGAAGGTAATGGGTAGATATTGGTAGACTTCTGTCACCAGATCAAATGGGTTCAGCTTGTCTAAGTGTTTTTTACACCGAGTAATCTGGCTAGTAATGGTTACTTTCTGTCTTGCTCTGAGAGCTTGAGTGACATCTTGTCAGATCATATTATTTGTAGTAATTACAGCTATGTGAACATAAGGCCATATTAAAACCATTTCATACCCTGCAGAGCTGTGTCTTCACTTGCTGTGATGGCAGGACATGGCAAGTAGTAGGATGTACCCTGAAGAGTACTGGGCCTCTTGGAAACACTAAATACTTCATCATATGAATTTTAGATATGTTTTCTAGAATTCCTTCAATAAATCCTAAAGTAATGAACTTTCATAAAATAGATCAGATTTTTTGAGATTACTCTAGGTTGTTATTGTAAAGCTGATCATTTTTTGAACCAGTATATACTGATAACAAATTGTCAGCTGTTACCCCTGCCTGGTGTAGGGGGAGGAGGGAAAGCAGCTGTAAGAGTTTGACAACTGTGGTAGGGAGAGAGCAGAACTTTTGCTAATTTTTGCTCATAAGATTTTAATGCAAAATAGAAATCTGAAAAATCTGGTAGTGTTGATCTGAAAATATAGTAGCATTTCTCTTATGAGATGGCAAGAATTCCAGTGGTCGTGTAAAACAAAATCTTTTAAGAGAAGGACAATAGATAAGTTAGGAAATGCTTTGCAAGACCCAGTAAGATAGGGTCACTTCCAAGAAATGCTTCAGTATGCACTGTAGAAAAATGCTTTGTCCTTGTAGTAGGAAAGATAAGACTTCACTGCATACTTTCAAATGTACTAAAGTTTTTTTGTTACAGATTCAAGCTTAGCTCTGTTCACTAGAGTTGTCTCATGCTGGGACCTTAAGCTGGCTGTGGCTGATACTATTTAAAAAGTCTTTGAGTCATAGGTGAAAGCTAAATGTGGTCTTATGTTTTCTTTTAAAGCACTGTTTATCAATCACTGCAAACTTATTTAATGCTTTTGGAAATGAGGCAGTGAGGGTATGGCTGCTTTCTGCCAGTACTGTGAGCAGCTGCAGTGTAAGCTGTTCTAGCTCCAACACCTCTCAAACTATAAAACTCACAATTCTAGTTGCCCTTCTGTAGCTGTGCTGAAAGGCTGACCTGTGGCATCCTTTGAGTGTTTCTCTCTGGTATGGCAAGCACTACCAACCAGATGATCTACGCTTAACATGAAGTTCAGCTCAGAGCCAGGTATTCTGCGTGAACTTGCTTTTCCATTGACCGTGGTCTCGGCCTGGACTGCTGTTCCTGTAAGGTGATTTTCTAAACTAAGGCTGGAGCGGGGAGGCTGAGCCAGCCTGACATGGCACATGGATAGGCAGTGTGGACAGAACAGTGAGTCACAGCTGAGAGGTGGTTTAGCAAATTGCTTCTAGTTGCTTCCCTGCTCAGCCTGGGCCTAACCAGAGTAGAGCTGCTTTGCCTGATGTGGGGGGCTAGCTCTGAGCTCACCTGCCCCAGGTGAGTGGGGCTGACAGTGTGGGAGCTTCTCTGCTTTGCTCTGCTGAGGACTGCTGTCAGCTAGCTCTTTCTAAATGGTTGGAGCGGAGCAAAATCTGCATGATTTTTGTCATCTCCTAGCTTAGACAGGTCTGATGTGCACACAGTCATGGCGTAAGCTCACTGATGAGCATGCCAAGCCAGGCTTCAGATCTGGGCCATCCTACAATACAGTTATTGGTGACTGTTTTTCTGCTGCAGATTATTCCCAAACGTTATGCTCACATAACGATTTGGTATGGCTGACATTTCCCAAGGTGTTGGGGGTTTCTTCCTGGAATAGAATACTTCTGGAAATTTTTGTTTTAGGATGTGACTTTATTCATAAGCTTTGATATCTTAGACATGAAGAGCTAACTAGCATGTAGAGTATTCTTGGAAAAGTGTCTTGATTTATCTTTTGGCCCCTTGGTCTGCAGCAGTGTCTGTTTTGAGTCAGCTGCATATGTTCACAGTAGATCATTCCAATAAAAATCCTTGACGAAACAGATAATGACACTGTGTTAGTGTTAAGCCTTCATGACTTATCAATGTGACAGTAATAAAATGTACTTTGGAATGTTATTAAAGTAGTAACATTAAAACTTTGCTTGTCCCCAAATACAGACTATTAACTATTTTGCGGATGTTAATCACCTTTACATATATTAGAGAATATGAAAATACCTGGTTAGTGGTGCTCTTAATGCCGGAGGACTTCCTTTGAGACATTCCAGATCCTTGGTGTGCAGTGTTAGATGCTACCAGTGTTAGAGGAACGTTTCCAGGAAGGAACTGTCTTATGCTTTACAACTGCTCAGCATGGACTTTGTTTAGTACTCAAAACATTCTCAAATTAATAGGCATCAGTCAGCAGCTTTGATTTTGCTTGTCATATATGCTCCTTTGGTTAAGGTTCAGTATTGTTCTTGATTAGAACTGAAAAAACACTGGGCTTAACTTCAGGACATTGGCCATTATTTCCAAACCATGATGCAGTAGATTAAATCCTGAAACCCTTTGGTAGAAGTTGCAGCTGTTGAACTGTGATTGGAACAGAGGCAGTCCTGTGCAGGTGTTACTGGGCTGGAGCATCAGTGGTCGTACTGATGGAGCTGCAGGGACTGCGATTGACCCGTGTGGAAAGCTGTGTGCATTCCTGACTTTCCCCATTTCTTTGAGAGTGTAGTTCAGCATCAAAACACAAAAACTGCAGCAGCTACAAATGACAGGAGTAGTGCCTCAGGCTTTGAGTTAAGAATAACACTAAAAATTAACCCAGTTACCTAGTCTTGAGTATTACTTTGTTGAACTTGTAGTTTGCCAGCTTTGTGAGCTTAAGCTGCTATTTAGTTTGCAGTTAGTTTACCTGCCCTCAGAGGTTGTCTTTTTTGCAGATATGCATGTACTTTTCAGGAATGAGTTCTTCTAGAACCATTTAAGAGCTCATGGCTCCCTTAGAATATAATAGGGCTCTAGAGTGATTTGAATAATCCCTGTCCATACCTTGTATGCATGTATTGCGTGTATGCCATTTATGTGAACTTTCTTGGTGAGTCACTGTCATTTATCTGTTTTGTAGTGGTAGAGACCACTGTCTCTGGAAATTCTTGCTCACTGTCTATATTTTCTTTTGGTTAGGGAGTTGTCTGGAAAAATGCCTTGATTGAAAATCCCATCAGAACTAGGAAGCTTGATTTCTATTTCAAACTGCTTTTTTCAGGGAAGTGAATCCCGGAATAATTTTTTTTAGGTATGTCCAACCAAATTACTGTTTAGAGAAAGGCAATTGGACATGTCCTTTGGAGCTCATTCTTAACCACCAGAAGAGGCAACATGACAGGAGCAATAGGCATGATGGTTACACCCTCTTCAACATCCAGGCCTAGCTGGCCTGGGAGGGTGAGGATTTGCACTCTGTCCTAGCTCTCTTGCTATGCCATTAAGTCAGCCTGGCAGTGAACTTTATCTTATCTTATCTTCTTGTTAAGGAATTGGGAAGCTATGTTTGGGTAAGTCCAGCACAGGAAACTAAAATCCACATCACTAAAGAAGAGGCCAAGAATGATGTTAAACTTGGCACATCACAGCTGAGGCCCAGCTGGGTGTGGGGGATACAAGCCCCAACTCCACTGTTTCTTGGACAGGATGGTAAAGGGTACAGCCTACAACAAAGTGCCGGAAACGAGATTTTTTTTGAGTTAGGGAAAGCTTATAGTTGGTTGGAAATGGGAATGCTTTTATATGGGGTCACTTGTGCATTACTGTGAGCACAGTGTGAGGTGCAACAGCCTGAGGAGCACCTGTTTCCCCAGGCTTGCATGGCGCAGGAGTGGAACGAGTGCGACCCCTGTATTGGGTGTCATGGGAGGAAGTTATTTATATGCTCGCATTGCTTCCTGGGGGCAGAACTGAATTCTTGTGGTAGTGCTTGCCCCAGGGAAAGGGGAAGCCCTGAGAACAGCTAGCATTGGCGCACTCAAATATTTAGTAATTACATGGATATCTGTTGTAAAACTGTTTCTTGGAATCCAGTCTGTTTTTCTTCAAGGAATGAGCGCAGCTGCTGACAAACACTGCTTGCCTTTTGAGGTTAAAAAATAAATAAATAAATAAACACTTCCCAGTGAAAAATTTTCCATTCTGTGTTTTACTGGCACTTTGTCAGCCATCCAGGCAAGCTTAATTATTCTGCTTGCTCTGTTCTGGAGACGCAGTACAGTATTACCTAACTTTGAACCCAGCTTTATCCCTTCAGAAATCTTTTTTTTAAAAGCAAGAAAGATCTTCAAAGGTGAACACTGAACACTGAATCATATTATTCAATGCGTTTGACAGGGGTCCATCTGTGTGTGTTGGCATGAAGAGAACTTTCTTATGGTACATCTTCAGCTAGAAGTCAGCTCCCTTTTGACTTTTTTCTCTCTGCTTGTACTGACTGTTTCATATTTATTCTCTCTATGCGTTAAGACCTTTTAAGGGTTTAAGTGTAGATTCTGAGTGTCTGTCTTCATATATATCATCCCAGGAGCACATTATGAATGGAAGGTTCTGTTATCTTTTTCCCTATGGAAAAGTTAAGGTGTGAGCACCAAGTGGCTTGTAGAAGGCCCAATGGGAACTTTGGTGCAAGGGCTTTATTTTCAGGTGCCCAAATCCTAGGTTATACAGTAACTCTGGGGCCAGTTTTAAACTGCTTCAGTCTTAGGTTTTTCTTTGAATAAGTTAGAGAAATGTGGACAAGCTTCATATATACGAGGAGGAGTAGTCGGGCGTTATGTCGTGTCAGAGGAAGACAACACTGTTCCGAGTCCTCCTATGTTGTATTATTAATTAACATAGAAATGGATTGAATAGAAGCGAACAGATTCATTGCCTGAGGTAAGACGCCATGGCTGTACCCTACCTGGAAATACGATCAACTCTTCTGTTTCTTTTTCACTTCTCCCTGTTACCTGGATGGACTACAGAGCTCAGGGTTGCCTCAGGCAGGCTTAGGTGCCTCAGGCAGGCTTAGGTGTATATATTGCTGCCTATAATATGTGTGTCTCCTTTTAATGAAGAAATTGATAACAGCTTTCATTGTGACACAGGGCACAGGCCTTCTCAAAGAGCGACCTTCCTTATTTGCATGTTCTGAAGTTTTGCTTGACGTTTCCTTCTTGTTCAGACAGCACGATCCTAATCAGCACTGTCAAGCTTTGAGATACAGGATGTCAGAGGCAGAGTTCATTATCCTCTCAGGGTGCAATTACTTGTTGGCTCTTGGGAGTGAGAGGTTTTTGTGTGTCCCACAGAACTCATATCCTGAAGAGAGAATAATCGAGGCAGCTCCCTTTGGCAGTGTTTCCAAAATGGCTTCTAGCTCGGATTACAATTGATAGGGTTTTTAATTTATGGGAATTCAATCTGATCTCTTGCTTTAGAAACAAGATGGTGTAGATAGATGCATTTATTGTCCATATTCTTTGGACATTTTCTTGTTTCATTTGATTGTGGGATGATACTGTATAAGGACATGAGGAACTTTATTACATAAAGCTTTCACATCTGTCTTCTAAATGTATTCTTTTTCCCTGGCAGCCAATAACTTTGGTTCACCTTGAATAGCTTGTTTCCAGTAGTAGCTTTCTGCTAGAAGCTGTGATACTCTAACTCCCCCCCCCCCCCCCCTCCCCGGGAGGTCACTTAAGGGAGAAAATTAAGGTTTAGTTTCACAGTGTGATTTAGTTGGCTTTGTATTTGAAGAAAGCAGCCTTCTTCTCTTACTGCAAGAACTAAAGCAGTAAAGTTTGAGGTTTCTTAAACCAAAGAAGATCTGGATATTCATCAGGAAAATTTTAATCAAAATCCTGAAAACTTTTACCTGGGTCTCCAGCTTTAGCTTTGCGTTCTGACTTAAACACTAAGTTTTTAAAGGCACTGTAATTCACTCGAATATTCCAGATGCCTGTTTTAACAGATGAAGCATAAATGAAGAATTTTCTGGGTCGTCTTTTTCCTAGCAGGTTTCGTGCTTGGTCTGTCAGCCCACATGAAATACTTCAATATCAGCTTAGCCTGCATTTGAAATTCTTAGTGATTTTTCTCTACTTTGTCCTGACAGATATGGGAGTATGACTGGGTCCCGTTTGTAACGGATCATGTGTCGGTGAAACTGTTGTGTCACTGCTTCACTGTAGTAGTAATGGTTCTCTGTTGTAATGAACTGTTTTCATCTCCAGGTTACCTGATCATGACTGATGACTGGTTTTCTGAGTACGTGTATGAAGTTGTGGTGGATAAGAAGCATGTACCAGAAGATATCTTGGCAGTGATGCAGCAGGAGCCGATTGTTTTGCCAGCTTGGGACCCTATGGGGGCGTTAGCCAAGTGAACTACAGAGCGTTTGCCTCCTAATGATCTACCAGAAGTAGATGCAATAGAGAATCCCAGTGGTTGGAAGCCATAGCCAAATGATAATGTGACCAAGCACTCAGCATGGTCCATGTTCTTGAAATGTAAGTTAAGGATCTTTGGAAAATAGCGCTTTACTGACTGGCTCAATAAAAGCTCTCAGACAGGCTACTCTGCAAAACTAAAAAGGGAAGCAGGAAAAACTCATCATGAAAATGTATTACAAGTGCTTTCAATGGCCATTTGATTTTATCTTAATTTTTTAATAAAAATCAGCATAGTAACTTAGAATACTTTTGACTAGTATTTTCCCTAGAAAAGATGGCCATAATCGGCCATTCTTTAAAGTTAACGGCTAGGTGATTGTTAGAACAAATACATCAAGATACTTATAAATTAACCATCTGTGGGCTCTTATACCATAAAAGAATGTCCAAAATATTTTATGCATTTACATTTTTAGTTTTGCTGCCAAGGGAAGACGTTTTGAAGGGGACATAGAGTGGAAACTGCTCCATTCCTTAAAATAACCTTTAGAAAATTTTCTCTTCCAGCAGCATTGGAGAGAAACAACTGCTTCTGGGAGGTTTCCAGTTGCACTTGTTTCTAATCTTCCATTATTGAGCTAGGACTGGATAACTTGTTTCAAGGCCCAGTGCTATGTCTGTGTGCACAGGAGCGCTATTTTTCAGTTAGATTAGCAAGAACAACCGTAAATATGTTCACAGGTGGAGTTAGTGTCATGCTCAACAGAAGAAACATTTTAATTGCTGCATTTTATTTGGATGTTTTAAAAAACAAGATGGTGCTATGAAGCTTTTAAATAAACACTTTCTTAAGTGACTGGTTCAGCTCTTATTTTTTTAAATTAAATTAGCCACAAGTAACTATTGAATTGGAAAGATATTAGTGACGTGCAAACAAACCTAAGCGAGCCAGAGCATGAATAGATCAGGAAGACATGCTGCTTTATATACTCAGTAGTAGTCACAAAAGCACTCGTCTCTCAGAACAAAGATAAACACACCATATCTCATGCGCAACAGGCACTCAAATACTTCAAGTACAGTACTAATCCTTTGATTTAAATTGTGCCAAAATGGCAGACGCTGTGTACCCTAATAGTTTTCCTGTTCTGTACTGAGTTTAGTCACGGGCAAATAAGAGGGGAAGTGAGGACAGAGAACCATGCTTAAATAATCTGCCAACTACCATGGGTAGTAGGTAAATATTACTAAAATCAAGTGCAAGTCAAAAAAGGACGTTTGGTGTGCTGTAGTACTCTACAACTTGGTTTGACTTTTCTTCCATTTGGACTTAAGGGAGGCAGAAAGTTTTTAAATGATTTTGTTCCTCCCTCCTGATTTCTTTCACTTGCACACCACCTCAAATACTTTATCTTTTTGAATTCAAAGGCTCTAGAAATAAGGCTGGGCTTGAAAGACAGAGATAGTATTACATCTATCAGGAAGTCACTAAAATATCAGTGCCTTAGATATGGATGTATATTATCTTATGCTTGTTACACAAAACATACATAAAATGCCAAGCTAAAGTATTTGTGTACATGTTGCCTGCTAAGCTAAATTCAGATATGGGTTTGGCCAGGAAACATCCATGCTGATTCGAAGTGCTGTGATTAATATTTCTTGAAGTGGGTAGGAGTGTTGGCTAGAGGAGAAGCCAATGCAGTGTGTAACAGCAGCAGGTCTGATAATCTCCCTGAATTATGTGTTTTAAGAGTGTGCCCTTTGCAGTATTTTCTGCAAATGTAACAAAGCTGTTCTGGAGATGTACAAAATGCATCTTGGCAGCATCACGATACTATAGCTTGAATCCCTCTTTTCTAGTAAAATTTAGCTCATTATTCTGGGCTTATGTCAAAAGGTTTTCTGTCGTCCCAAGACCTATAAGGGTACTTCTCACTTGTTTTTAAGAAAACTGCTATCGCTGTCAGCTTGCCTCTTTATAGTAGCAGCAGTCATGAGCAATAATATAAAGCTGCACCTCTGCAGCAGGTTTTCCTAATTTAGAAGATTCAAAGAGTGATGCTTAGATTTCCCCACCCCTACCCCTCTGGTTTAAGAAAAGTGCAATGTGATTGTCAGAAGGCATGCCTTGTGTAGTTAGTTATCTCTGGAAGTTTGGGCATCCCTTTTAATTATCAGGAGAAATCAAGTTATTGTCAAATATTTTGCAAACATTTTGATTTACCGTCCGGATGATGCTGATCCAAATTTGATGTCTATCAAAAGGCAGATGTGCTTAACGAGGCATAACCTGATGTGCAAATACAGCATACAGAACAAGTGTGAGCTAAGTACGAGTGGTGTGGCAAGAAAAATACCAAGACGTTATGGTTGATTATATACTCTTGGTGAAAAAAGTGATACCATGTTGGAGTGCATTAACAGAGGAAATAGCCTCCAATGTGTGAAGTCACACAGCTCTGCCCAGCACTTGTGGGGAATAAGCTGGAGTGCAGTGTCTGGTTTTGGATACTGCACCTCAAGGAAGATGTGGACCAAAAGGAGCGCAGAGAAAAGCGGTAAGAATGATCAGAGGACTTGAAAATGTGACTGGTAAAAGAAACCCTGATGTTTAGTCAGAGAAAAGGGGAGGCATAACTTTCTTTTAATTTTTAAATAGGTACTTTAAAGAAGGAGATTCTCTGTTCCCACTGCTCATGATAGATGAAGAAGTCATGGGCTTCAGCTGCAACAAGATTCAGTGAGATTAGGAAAAGCTTTCTAGTGATAAAAATAGTGCAGTGATAAAAATAGTGAAGCTCTGGAATAAATTGCCTGAGGAAGTGTGAAGTCTCCACTGTTGGAGATCTTTAGGAAAAGGTTACAAAAACTGTCAGGAAAATGTCAGAAATGGCATTGATAGTTGATCCTTGCTTAGGGCAAAGGGAGGCACCGGATGATCTTTTGAGGTGCCTTCTGGCCTTACGATTCTGCCATGCGCAATCTCTACCTCATGCATGCTGTTACTTGCATCAAGGCGAGTAAACAGTCTTGTACTTGATGCTGAATCCTGGTGGCTCTGAAACAAAGCCAAATCCCTTGGGAAGTTGTATTATGAACAATATTTTGGTTATGACTAATGCATGTGTTGTTTTTTTAGGCTTTTTTTCTTCCAAAAGGTCAGTATTTTAGTCTTCCAAAATCTTTCTGCTTGTGACATTACACCAGTTCTTCTATTTCCTTCATGCTATCAACCAGAGGATTATAGCAGTCAAAGAGAGTTAACTTTTGCTCTAGAGTTAAACTGACTAACGTTTTTGTTGCCCATGCCAGCTCTGGTGATGATTGAGTTTGACAAATTAAAAACTGTTTCCAAGCCAGTTTTTGTTCATTTGAGTATTTAAAAGTATTGTCTGCTGTGGCTTATCTCTGCAGTTCTTGCCCGGATATTTCCCAGTACAGCTTATACAATGGTATGTTTTTTTTTCCTTTCCTTCATAGGAAAAAGAGCATAAAAATCTTGCATGCTAAAACATGCTAGAGGAAATGAAGCCATTCTGGCAGCAGCAGTTTTGCATTTATACCCAGCAATTTTGTAAATCCATTTTAAGAAGGAATGGGCAAAAGGAAGGAGAAATACCTCTGTCAAAGGAGGGCTGTATTTCTTCTGCTTTGAGAATTCCAAGGGCAGTTGAACAAACAGTTCTAAGGTTCATGCTAATGACTCTTTCTGATTTCAGGCTGTGCCTTTGGTCGGAGTTGATAGCTACATGCTCTTGCTAACTCGTGGTCTTTGTCACTCATGAAATAGCCCATCAAATCTTAGTGGCAAGTGAACTTGTTTTTAGATGTTTGAAACATGAATAAAATCCACATGTGTAAAATGATTTCCCGTTAACAGCTCCTGTGGAGCTATTCATATTTAGACAGAGAAGTTTCTGAAAATTCACCCTATGCTTAATTCATCTGTAGTATTCTTGTGTGCGCTGCTGCTGCAAAAAAATACATCCACAATCTTCTTTTGAAAGAGGTCCTAAAGCAGCAGAAATAAATTTTACACAATAACAGAGAAAAAATGAAAAAGCAATCTAGCTATAAATATCTCCTTTACTGTTTAGTTTTGTCTTATTTTCGCGTTGGTATCTAGCTTTAATGAACTTTGGGTAATGCAAGCTAGCGCTATGCCTCATTCTGGTTCATTTAGGTCTACTGAGTTGGATCACAACTGAGATTCAAGTAATGATTAGTTTCAGAAAAAACTTCTGCAAAATTAAATGCTAGGAATCTGAAATTGAAGTTTCTTGCAATGTATTTATTCATGTGTCCTTAATTTTGCTAATGGAAAAAAATGAGGAAAAGATGATGAAAAAATTGCACCTCAGCTCTTGGCTCAGGGAAGTACACAATGGTTTACTGGCTCACGCTGCCCTTTTGTCCTAAAGGAAAAAACAGTAATGTGATCAGCAGCCCTCAGCTGTGGGATTAAGAATCAAGAGAGTCAAATAGGTGATTGAGAGGTCATATGCTCCGTAAGGAGGCTGAGAAAGGTCCCAGTGTCCTGCATAGCAAAAGGTACAGCAGGATCCAAAAGAGCCTCAGTCTCTTAGGTTCAGGGAAGTTAACGAGTGCAGCCGAGGGAGATGACAGACTGAATTAGCGGACTTGGCCAGGCACTTCTCCAGCAGAGTAGTATGGGAGTGTGTAAATGAGAAACAGACCACTTTACTCCAGTCGGTTCTCAGGAATTGGTTCAGAGTCAATCAAAATGGAAATAATGTGGCAGTAAGACTAGTTTGCTAAAAGCAAGCAAAGAAAGCTCTATGCCTGATGGACCACTTTACAACAAGAATTAACATCTAACCAGTAAAAAGATGCTTAGGTTAGAACGAAATGCAAAAGCAACAACAATTCTTCCCCTCTGTGTTTCAGTGCCGTTTCTTTAGTTTATATCCTTTGCACGTTCTTAAAAAGACCTTTGGATTGCTGTGGAACCAGCCAACTGACAGATAGTTTCCTTTTCCAATTTGTGTCAATAAAAACATCTAATTTTCATGTGATAATCCAAAGAGTTCCTCTGACAGCTATAAGATATTGACAGATCATGTCATAAAGGTCAACTATCTCAGTTTCAGTCAGAAATCTGAGAATAATAAATGCTGCTAAGCAAGAAAAGGAAGAGGCAGGAGGAGAGGTTACATCTGGTGGCAGTTTGGAAGTGATCAGAATCAGATTTCTCCCCCAGAACGTTCTCTCTAAACACTTCTAGTGGAAACAACACAAACCTCTCTCAAATCCATCTAACTCTCAGATGTGTATCCCAGCACAGCCAGCTTAGGAAATAGCTGAGAAGGACAAACAATTTCTCTCTTTTATCCCAAAGCCAATCCTAATAGCTTCTAAATGTAGT